ACAAAATAGGGAGGAAAATTTTGTTCGTGTGTTGCGGGAAAATATTACCGGGATGAAAGTGCTTTGTGTGACGTACAAGGAGTGGTACAGGAGAATACTAAGGCAAGACAAAGAAAGAACAACTTTCCTGGTGGTGCTGTTTTGGCAGTTCTTGTTATTAATGACACTACCACAAACAGTAGTAGCTAGGAGGAGGATTAGTAGTACAAGGAAAATTATTTTCAACATTTTTTCATAGTATGGTGACAAGAAGAATGATAGGCAGCAGGAACAGCAAAAAAAGACAGATATCGTCACCAAAAGTAGTATTAGCAACAAGCTTGTTTTTGGTGTACTACTAGTAATAGTATTACTAGCTATTACTAGTAATGTGACAGATAGTTCTTTGATGTAGATATTTTTCCAAGAATAATGATAGTGACCCACCCTTCAGTCAAGGATAAACTGCCATTGCTGGTGCTCTACCAAGACCCTTGTTTTCTCCTTGTTCCTGAAGGTCATCTTCAACAAAATGATGGTGGGACAAGAAGAGATAGTCTACTGGTCTTGTGGTGTTAGGCTATATCATGATGTTGTTCCAGAAACAATGAACAGCTGAGCTGTAGTACAAAAAGGTCAATTACTACTAATAGTAGTACTACTACTAGTGGCTTGAATGTTCTTGTAAGAAAGTATCATAAGACTAGTACTAGATGATTGAGAAAGATGAGACACTACTAGTAGTAGTATGATTAATAATAGTGTACTACTAGTATTGAATTTCAAAAACAAGAATCATGGTGGTGGAGGTGGTAACAATAGAAAAAAACTTAAAATAATATTTAACCTCATGAACTGGATGGAGCAACAAAGTAGAAGGTGGTTTCTCCTCACGGCCATATTGCTTTCTGCTGGTTCTGATTTTGCTGTAGTGCATCAGCATAACATGATCCCAGCAGTACTAGTACTAGCACTACCCGTATGAGAAATAAAGAATATCATTTGTAATATTTCAGGTTTGCGGGTTGTTACTGTAACAAGAAAGAATATTCTTTCTGTTCACAATGAACAGAATTCATATTATGCTGGGGGACTAAGAAACTGAACCACATGAACAACCCAACAACATAGAACTTTACTACTACTTGTTAGTAACTCTGAATTGCTGCTGCTGTTTAGAACTTCAAATTCAAATGTTTGATTGCTGTATTCAATTGTCATATTATGTGCAGTATTCCTCTTGAATGTGGGTTTTCCATTTAGTATTCTAGTTTCAACCATATTTCATGCAAACAAAAAACTTGCATTTGGTGGAGATATGGACCAAATAGTAGTGATTCTGCTGGTGGGTGGTCCATCATTGAACATAGTAGTGTTATTTTTGTTCTAATTGGTCTAGTAGTAGAAAGGATGGAAGACATTTCAAATCTGTTTTTGCATTGTCTTTTTTGACCTTGGGGCAATGTGGAGCTTCTTTATTGCAGGACAAGAAGAAAGAAATCTGGTTGTGGTGACAACTGTGCTGGACTTACTTGTACTACTAGTAGTACTAGAAGGAGACTCATATGATAGTACTACCACTTATAGTAGGCACAAAACTAAGCTACACTTTTCAATGTTACGAACTGCAGGTAGTAGTAGTGGCATCAATGAATAATACGATTTCTATGCAGATATTTTACAGTACACGGGTTCCAATACTAGTATGACACATTTCCAATCCCATCTATTGTCAATGGAGATGTTGATCATCGCGGGCATCCTTAGTTCGCGGACAACCAATACCATTACTGATCTGAGAAATTGGGAGTGAAGGAAAGGCTCATTTTCAATTTTCCCATTTAATCGATCGCTTTGGCCCTGACGCAAATTTCGAACAGCCTGTGCTGGAACAAATTGCTTTTGCTCCTGAAAGATATATGCAGAGGTGATGAGAATCGACGCAGCCCATCGGGATCATCAACCGTAAATGTCCTGGGGGACGGATACCACATGTATTTCTATTCAGCAAAGTCGTCAGAAATCCCTTGTCGAAACGTTTGATTGTTGTTTGCATCCGATCCAGCTTGCAATCCAACTGATAGTACCAGGTGCATTCAGTGTATGATCGAAGAAAGAATGTGCAAGGAATGACGGAGTTTGCTATCGTCGCCATTGCTGTTTCCCATTGCCAGCCATCGAGTTATTGTAGTGACAGGGGAAATTGTGGAGTACCGAACCGTTTGCTCGTCAGTCGTTTGCGACCCATCATCATAGGAACGGTGCGCCGCTAGAGAAAGAGGAAGTAACGTAGAAAATGATTCCCAGCGTTATTAGTACTTCGCACAGGAGTAGTTCGTCTACCGTTGTTCTCAACCTTACTATCACTGCGAGACTGGGGTACGAGTACCGGGAGGGCAAGACAATAGCTGATGATAAAACGGCAACGTGCCGTCGATGATGTGCATTGTCAATCATCAACGGATTCCAGTGACCGTTGCCGAAGTTGCAACCTGGAAAGATGTAGACATGGAGTAAAGAATGAGACAGCTGCAAACTAAACCGAAAGTTTGGAAATGTGTTTCAGGCAATCCTACAGTAAAGAACAATGGCACAGCTCCCATTCCTCATCTATTTTTTCCCCCCTTAATTCAGGCCTTCCACGACTTGTTTATCTTCTTTAGCGGTATGGCATGTACTATTTACTTCCTGGATTCGATTTCTCATTTTCTTCTCACTTCAAGTACTCGAGCATACCCTGCCGATCATTTTAAAAGACTCGATTTGAATCAAAGAAATGAGATTGTGCCCGATAGTGGCACTGAAAATTTCAAGCACCGTTGCTCATTTTCCGAGGATGCCAGGCCAAATAAATCGAATATTGGTCATAATGGCCTTTAAAAACAAATATTAATGTTCTTCCGTCCAAACGTACGTCACTTCACGTTTTTTGAATACAGAGGCGCACTGGATTTGAGAGCAGCGACCGAAAAATGCAATGTACGACATAATTTCTTAGCTAATTGCGTTCCTTATCGCCACGCAATCACGTATCCTTTTCCAATCGCCAGATTTTAAGAACCGTTTGTGCGGGAATAGTACAGAATCTACTGAAGAGTACAGGATAGGTGTGTAAAGAGAACAACCAAAAGGTTCGAGTAAGTAAACCACACCACCATTCATTTTCATTCTCTCCCTTGCTGCAGAACAAACAAATGAATGTCTGTGGTGCAGGTCTGATATATTTAGCTTGCAGTAATAGAAGTTGAAAGGAATCCATCTTATCAACGTGTTCTGAGGAGTAGTTGAAGAATTCTCTCTCAATAACGAAGAATACAGCAGCAGGAGTCAGAAACAGCGCTTTTCTCATATGGACAAACAATCAATATGGAAATTGTAGAAGAAGAGAGCATAGCCACTGCCAACACCACTTCGGGGAAGCCTTTTGACAATCCTCGCCATCCGAATCATCAGGCCTTGGGCTATAACAGAAGTAATCTTTCGATGATGATGCAGATGAACGTTTCATCCAATGGGTCGAGTTCGAATCTATCCGTGGAGACACATCCCGCTTCTAGCAGCAATCAAAGCCAAAGCAACAACAACAACGGCAATTTTTTTGCTTCATCGCCGTTATCTTCGGAATTGCGTGATTCTCGCCATGACAGCCCAAAAGAAGACGAAACGTCCCAGGAAGAATGCGACGACGATGCGATGATGTTGTCGGAAGTCCCTGATGCGCCCACAAACCACAACAACAGCAGGTTTATCCTTCCTCCGCCTCCTGTCCACAACTGTCTTGCAAAATCGTCGACCCTTCTTTCCAGAGGACAGACATCGTCCGCCGGGGGACTCTCGCTGGGGCGCATCATTACGGAGGGCAGCACTGCTACAACTGCAACAAGCGGTGGTACCAGCGGCAATGCGTTTGTTCGGGAAGAAAAGGTATCGCTGACTCCTAGGTTTGGCAGCGCTCCCCCGCAGAAAGGTGGTATTGGATCATCCGAGTCGAATCATCGGCAGGGTCCGCAAGGTCCTGACGACCTGGACAGCGAACACTTGTTTTCCATATCTGGGAGCATGTCGTCGGAATTCTTGGAGCACCAGCACCACAATCCCGACCATCAACACGATTACGGCACTCCACACGAACGCCAGAGCGAGATGGGGATGAAGAGTCCCACGTCCACTACCGCCAGGGACTTGTTGCGAGAGGTTCAGTGCCCATCGCTTCCATCCACCCACGGCAACAGCCATGGGAATGCACAAGGACGGACCAGAAGCGCATCTCTGCCCTTCTTGGGGACACCACCCCTTCATCACTATCTTAGCGACAGTGCCACCGCCAGCAACCGCCAGACATTTCAGTTGCAGCCTCGGTTACCGGATGGTCCAATGCTGTCTTCGAATCATCAACACTACAATCCTCCTTCGCTTTCTTCTACCTCTCCACCTACTTCTACATTCCACCAAAAACCCTCCCATCACCCCACACTGATGCGAGAACACCAGCAGCCACAGGCGCTATCATCCTCGCCCACGTCTTCCTCACAGGCCCTCCCGGGTTCAGGGAGCTTCTGCGACGGAAATGGTGGCCGCGAAAAACCCGTCATCAGTCGCTGCTTCGCCTGGAGCCAGGATTCCCAGGACGAACGCCGCATCACGAAGCGGGCCCGGCTGGTGCTCCCCGAGAACGGGAACAAGAACGCTGTCGCCTCTTCGTCGCCCCTCTCCCCGGACAGCCGCGGTGCACCTCACACCGAATCTTCCTCCTTTTCTTCGGCCCCGACCACCCTCGAAAGCATTGTCCGCGGTGCGAAAGGCACCGGCGACCGGGGGCGGCAGCCGCGGTACCACATCGACGAGCACAAAACCGAGCACGAAGCATCGAGGGGCGACAGGAAGGGCAACGACAACCGTCACGGCCATGGTCTCGAGAGAAAGGACAAGAATTCTGTCCCGGTCGGTGGTGCCGGGTCTCTCTCTGCGTCCCCGTCTCCTACCAGGGTGCACTGGGAGGAGAAGGTCGGGAACTCGATCGAGCTGATGAGGCGTGTAGTCCCTCCCCAGGTCTTGTTCGGTGACAATACCACAAACAGCAACAGCGAAGACGTGGCCATGGGGGACGACGACAGCCATCCAGCAACAAATTCTTCGCAGGTGCCAATGATCCACACCACCAGTTCCAACGGTTTCCCCCCACCCATCACCGCGGCCTTTTCGGCTTCCCAGTACAGTTTTGAATCGATCTGAGTCAGAGCCTGTCGACGAGGGGAATGAGGGGGCAGCGCGAGTTGTGTTCCTTTCGCGATCCTTGTTTATCTCACGCGGCACGGTCTTTTAAGTTTCTACATGCACAAAACATACCCGGTCATCCAAATAATTTTGTACTGTACACTACATGATATTTTTTAAATTAGTATACCATCTACAACCACTACACGAACCGTTGCAAAAAAAAAAGCATCGCGCATTTCCAATGCCAGCCGTGTCGAGTCGAGTCGTGCAGAGCCATCCCGTTGCCGATCCGAACCGGAACGGTCGTGATCCCCGTCGCGATTCGTTCGATCCATTGGTTGGTTGGTTCACCCAATCCTTCATTCGTTCGTTCGTTCGTTCGTTCGTTCCACCAATTGCCAAAGCAGCAGTTTTCTGTTTGAATATTCTGTTGGAATACTAGCTAGCTAGCATGGTGCAGTCGAATGCGATCTCGGGTTGGTTTGGTTCGAAAGGCGATGCGATCGAAAGCCTGCTTGCTCTCTTTGCCGATTCGTGGCATCGCATCGCATGCCATCGACTCAACCCAATCAACCCAATCCAATCCAACGCAACAGAAATCAAATGCCATGCTGTGCCATATCATCGACTCATGGTTTGGTTGCTGGGTGGTATGGCGGCAGGGTAGATTCGACACCTGCGCACTTCGTTTCGTTTTCTTTCGTCGTATTCTTGTTGTTAATGTTGTTGTTGTTGTTGTTATTTGGGTGGCAGAGGGAGTGGGTGGAAAGGGTGACAAGGTGTTTCGTTGCAACTACCGAGTTCCACGCCATTCCACTCCGGCCGGGGGAAGGATCCATTTACCGAGGGGCTGGCCGCAAATAAGTATGCTGCAATGCATAAAACAGCAAGGAATTCACTCGAATTCAATTCAATTTGTTTTGTTGTTTGTTTGTGTTTCCGTTCGCTTCGCTTCGCTTCGTTTCGTCCGGCATTGTCGGAACGAGTTTGCTGCTGGCTTGGTGGTCTGTCTCGTGGATCGAATGCGTCGTTCGTTTTGCAGAGAACGGCAGAACAAGAAACCGAGAAACCGAACGGAAGGCTTACCCGAAACGGGTGGCGAAAGGGTGTGGCGCAGCTAGGTTTGTCGCACCGTTGTCCCCGGGACGCCCCGTCACCCCACATTCCGCGTGGATCTGTTCTCGCCAAGGCCGACGACACAAGAGACCATCGCATGCATCGCATCGCATCCCATCGCATCGCATCGCAAGGGCGGAAGCGTCCGATCCCTCCCGTTCGGCAAATCCGGGAGCCCGGTCCCTTCGTTCCCGATGGATGGCTTCGCAGAACCAAACCGATTCCGTCCCACCAGCTTGTTCCTGCCCCGCGACTACCGCGGTGGGCTGGTGGGCGATCGCGGAACGGCCGATCGAGAGGGTCGGTGTTGCTTCCTTGCTCGCTAGCCACGGTAGCAGACAGATTGTGTCTCGAACGACAAGACAAGATCCGAAGAACGAACCGGGCAGATTGTTTCTTCGCGTACGAGTAGTACTCGTGCCTACCGTACATTTCGTACACTGCGGTTCTGTTTCTTGCGTAGTAGTATCCTACCGTACGATACAGTACGATACTAAGTACGCAACCGTCGAAAGTGCAACCATGATGATCCTGCGGGCATCGCGGAAGTGTCAGGAGAAGTAAGGTACGTACGAGTACGTGCGAACCCGTTCTCGTCCTAGTTCTAGGACGCGAAAGTACAGTACGGTACCGCACGTACTGAGTGAGGGTTTGTTCTATTTTTGGGATTGAATTACACCTCTCCTACTCTTGGTACTACCTGTACGCAGAACTTCGGACCCGATCTATCTGACACCTAGCTGCCATGCCGGCAGGAGACATGCTGACTTTCTCGACCACTGCTATGGGAACATACTATCATACTATTAGTATCTGTAATACATACTCTAGCGAATAATTACAGTGACGTCACTCTCACGATCATGGGACTCATTCGACTCGTCTCCCTTGGAATGCTAATCCGTGCATAGTACATACATTGTGTTGCATTACTGTAACGTGCCCAGAAAAGAACAAACATGTAGCCATCAAAATCCACCAATCAAAGAATCAAGATCATCGATCATCAACAGAAAACAACCTCCGGTACACAAAACACAGCAAACACGAAGCAAAAGAGGGAGTGCCACACTACACTACAGTACGGTACGGTACTTCTGATGACCACCAAAAGATCCTAGCAAGACACACAACTCTTTGTGGATCGGCGAATAAGCAAAAAAGGAACACMAACAAAGGAAACCGAAACCGAAACACGGATCGGCCTGCCCTCTGCAACACCTCCACCAAAACCACCAAACCACTCCCATCCGTTTTCCGTCCGCCCGTCCATCCATTATGCTCTTTGCTCGAGCGGGAACCCTCCTCTCGAGGGCGGCGGCGAAAAAGCTGCCCCTTTGCCAACGCCTTGCTTCGAGGCCGGCGTCCGGACCGACAGCGATGCTCCAGCGCCGGCTGGACCACGTTCGGAAGCGCCTGGAGGACCTAGGCATCGAGCTCCCTCCACCCGCCGGACCCCGGGCCAACTACGACGTCGTCTGCGCCGATGCAGCGGACCCGGGGCTCCTCTACGTCAGCGGCCACCTGCCCTTCACGAACGACGGGACCCTCATGACCGGCCGCATCACAAGCGAAGGGGAGCGAGGCGTGGACTACGGCTACAAGGCCGCCAGGGCGGCCGCCCTCAACATCGTCAGCACCCTCTCGGACCGGCTGGACGGGGACCTCGACCGGGTCGAGAAGATCCAGAAGGTCTTTGGGATCGTCCAGTCGACGGACGAATTCAAGGAGCAGCACCTGGTGATGGACGGGGCCTCGGATTTGTTCCTGGAGGTCTTTGGAACCACCGTGGGCTACCACGCCCGGTCGGCCATCGGGACCAGCACGCTCCCGCTCGACATTGCCGTGGAGATCGAGTGCATCGTCCGGATCAAGCTTCCGGAAKGGGAACCGGACCAAACCTCCGGAACGCTTTCGACGCTCGGGACGGCCTCTGCATCGCCGCTGGAAGGGGGGGACAGCGAGCTCCGCAGGTAGCGAACGCATTCTGCGCTGCCGATGCGTAGCGTGTGCCATAGTATATACCAACAAGCAACTCACCAACCATATGTTCACGACTAAGGAATAGAACGAATACGGTTGTCTCCGACGTTTCGACAAAAAATCCACGCACCTCGCAATCTTTATTACGAAAGAAACCGAAATACAACACAACCGCAGAACATTTCTAATCAATGCAGTAACTCACCCACCAATTCATCTGTCGATCAATGTAACCGCCTTCAATCAATGCTATAATGCTATTCATTTATTTATATTGCAATCCCATCGAAAGCGTCCTGTCACGGAATAGTGGCCGGAAGCAGGACCCCGTCCAGAACGTGAACAACGCCGTTGCAGGCAACGAGGTCGGAAACCACGATCTCCGGAAAGCTGACCATGGCGGGTTCGTGGGGCTGCCGCTGGCCGCTGCCGTTCTCGTTTTGGCGGTCCCTCGACTCGTCGTCGTCGAAAGTGCGTGCGATTGCGAAATCGAGTGCGGGTGCGATGTTGCCGCTTCCGACCTGGAACACCCTCTTTCGTGCCGACCGCTCCGGCGCTTTCCCTTCCGTTTCGGATTCCGATCCGTCCAGGACGCACAGCGTCTCGGTGTACTGGCGGCTGGCCATTCGGAGGGATCCACCGCAGGCCAGGGCCCTCCGGGGGATCGCCACCGGGTCCTCCACGAAATGGTGCCTCAGCAGGGTGTCGATGCCCTCCCTGGTCTGCAGCAGAGCGGAAAGCACCGGCGGGGAAAAGCCGCTCTTCGGCGATGCCGCGGCGTCGGCTTCCGCGCGTCCTCGCAGCGCTTCAAAGGCCTCGTCGCTCGGGGCAAAGACCGTTAGGAAGTTGCCCTTGTTTCCGTGGATGCCGTCGTTTGTAGAAAGGTCGTGGCGGTTGCGATTGCCGCCAGCGAGCAACTCTCCCAGCGTCCCTTCAGCTTGGGAAAGATAGCCACAAAAGACCGTCGTGTTCTCGTTGGCACAGACCACTTCGACAATGGATTGGCAGGGCGGCCGTAACGAGACTTCGACTTCGACCGCGTTCTCTGTTTCTCCGATTGTTGTTGTTGTGGTTGTTGTTGTTGATGTTCCAAGGGCATTGTCATCTAATCCCCCCGGCTGTTGCGATCCCGAGGGAGTGTTGGCTCCCGGGATCGCACTGCTGCCGGTACTTGTGATTTGTGCGGTTTGAGTTTCCGTTTCCGTTTGCGTTTGTGCCACGTTGCTTGTTTCCCTTGCAGCAAGACGCACAATGCTGAGCTGGTTCCAGTCATCGCTGCCGATGTATCTTTCGCTCTCGGTTTGCGTGCACGCCACCGAGCTTGCCGCCAAAGCAACCAGAAAAAGAGTGATGGCCGTGTTCTGTGGTGATGCTAGTATTGGTTCCAGCAGTCGGAGAAGCTTCATGATGCCGATGTATTTGGATTTGTTGCTTTCGTTGTGCTGATGTTCTTCGTGCACTTAAAAAGCAGCCTACCACACCAGCAGTCGGCAATCGATGCGCTTCTACTTGGGACAAGGAAAATCCCACTTTTCGTCTGACAAGGATTGGATCTGTTAATAATAAAATGATAAATGAAATAAGAAGTACAATGATAACGAAGATACCGGGTTTCGGTCGTCGACCTCGATGAATGTCGATGGCAGCCGAGAAAATACTCGTGCTCCTAAAAATAATTTATTATGTACCGGTATGCTGTCACATGCATTCCTCGAGCATTCCTCGCTAGCAGTATATGGAACAACGAGGATGCCAGCAGCTCGGTTGGGGTTTCGCTCTTTCCGATCTTTCCGATGTCCTTGTTTGTGACAATCGGATTGGTCGTGGAAGCGGACGCCCGTGTTTCACGACTAACATTCATTCGTGAACGAAGAGTGTGTGGGGCCAACCCTTTCAAGTTTTGTACTACTATCATGACTACGAGTAGTAATGTACCGGTACCTACTAAGATTTAGGCTCACAAGTGGTAGTGGGCAGGCAAAAACTAGTACTACTACTTCATGACAAAAATCAAAAAAAATTCAAATAGTTGTCTGATCGTACGTTCCTACCTACTAGCAATGGAAAAAGAGACGACCCCTGATGACAGCGACCACCAGACGACAAGAGACGTGGTGCCAAGCCGTAGGAGGGTGGCAATCGGACGCGGTACGAAGATAACAAAACCTTGCTCACTTGGCTCGTCTGGTTGGTGACAAGGGACCTCCCCCCCCCTTTCTAACAGCAGGCACGACTGCCATAAAACGGGGGAGTGATTTGAAGTATCCTGTTGTTTTCTCAAGAAATTGTCAGTCACGCGGTGTACCTCGACATATCTGTGGTTCTGTGAAGAAGGGACGCTGTCAGAAGAATGTGATAACCGTAGTTTTTGATTACTAAGATTTAACTTTAAGGTCTATTTGGAGTGCGGTGGTTCCACCAGTTCTCCTCACTGTTACAAAACCTGTTGTCGTTGTTTCGATTAAGTCTATGTCGTACCACAGACATATCCGCACTTTTCGAACGCTGGATCAATCTTGAGAGTTTGTTTTCACCGTTTGCGTGGGGACTTTTGGACCGCTCCAATTGCCTTTCACATCTGTCTCTAACTCGCTGAGCACTCCTTGTACGTGTCAATCTTCCTCGACTCACGGCCCGTGCCATTTCTTTCGCCTTGCGTGTTTCTTCGTCGTCGTCGCTCTTGATTTCGACCGTTACCCTTCCGAGCTCCCTTTTCAGCTTACCGTTCGATGCTTCGAGACCCCTAACCCGGTCTCTCAGGTCTTGTATTTGTCTTCGGTAGGATTGCTCGGTGGCATCCCTCTTTTGGTTCCATATTTTGTCGACGAGCTGCATACTTGATGGCTTTTCGGGGCGCAGTTTTTCGAGATTTTGTTGGTCCCGTTCCGCCCTCAATCGGTCGAGCTCCGATTTCAAAAATCTCAGCTCCTCGTCTTTCTTATCCTTTTCTTGCCTTGCCACTAATTTTAGAGCTGTCATTCTGTCCATCAACTCGTTGTTCTCATTCATGAGATCGGTGATTTGAGCAACCAAGTGGTCACCGGCAGGACGATCCAAGGCCGCTATCTTTTCTTTTTCCAACTCTTCTTGTTTCTTTATCAGATCTTGTTCTCTCAGTTCCAGTTTTGTGCTGAGTCGATCGACCTCGGAAACGAGATTCTTTCTCTCGTTCGCGGCGTCTCTGATGTTCGCCTCGAGCTCTGCTATTTTACTATCCGTCCCATCAATTTCTTCTTTTTGCTCTGCCGTGACTTGCTTCAGCCTCCAAACTTCGTGTTTGGACTCCATCAATTGTTTCTGAAGTTCGGCGACCATTTGCATCGCTGTCGCCTGGTCGTCATGGCCCTCGGCAATGCTGCGCGAGCTTGAGGGCAGACACGACGTGCCCTCTGTTTTTCTGGGAGTGCTTGGTCTCCTTTTCGGACGGGGTACTAACCGTTTGGCTGGTTTGGCGTCCGAATTCTTTTCATTAGATTGGGACCGTCTTGGTTTGCTCGGAATCTCGTCGTGGCTCAAGCTGCCGTTGTCGCTACCGTGTGTGCTATTGTCCAATCTATCCAATGCTTCCCTTGAAAATGGTCTCCCCCGAGTTCGTACTCGGCTATCATTAGACTTGTATGACAAAACGGAAGAAGCGCCACTATCTTCAGTAAGACTCCAATCACTGGGCACATTCCGCCGGCGACCGCCGCGTATCTTGCGGCCCAATCGCCCCTCCACCTTTTCCTCGACGGAGTGTCCTGTCGTTGTTTCCGCGCAATTCTCGTAAGCATTTGTAGCGTTTGCTGTCGACTTTCTGCGTACCCTTTTAATCTTGTTGCCTTTCTCGTCCACTCGCCACAGCTGCCCGTCAATTTCCTTTATACTTTTCGGTAGTTTCAGCATCTTTCCAGCTGGCATAGATTTGATGCACGATGGTGTCGATGTTCCAACGCTTTTATCCGTGCTGTTTTTTCGATTGAAGAATTCTCCCAGCGCGGACTTCGATCGTACCAAAGGACGCTTTTCCGAGGAGGAGTTTCCATCTTCGGCTTTGCCCTTATCGATTTTTTCGCTGAAGCTGGCCCGACGGAACAATTCTCCCAGAGAATTCTTGGACTTGCTACGCCTCAAAGAAGGTTTTTCCATAGGAGGACTTTCCCGCACATGGTCTTCCACACTCTGGCTTATCAACTCGTCCAATCCTGTTCGTTCTTCGGCTTCTTTTTCAACCCCATCTAGCTGGATGGAAGGCAGCACCTCAGACCTAGCTCGTCGGTGCTGCGAAATTTTAGGGCGAACATCCATGGAAGGAGGAGACAAGGATGGTGTAGCGTTGCTCTGGCTTCGAGACCGTGCGATTCTTGGTGACTTGGAACGTTTCTTTCTCAACGAAATACTTTTCTGATCTGTCGCTGATTTCTTTTCTCCTTTAAGCTCGACGCCCATAGGCTGTTGCTTTGTTCGCCCCGACCTTACAGAAGCTATTGTCGATGCTGCTGTAGATGCTGTACTTGTAGATCTGAGCGTGCGGGCTGACTTGGTGGATATGGTCAATGAAGAATCATCCAACACAAAGGAGTCCTGTGCCAAGTAATCCGAAGAAGAATCTCTCTTTGGAATTCTCTTGATCTTCCTAGATTTCTTGCTTCTTGTACTCCTTCCGCTCCTTGAACTTCTTGTACTCTTAACAGACTTTTCGTCATCAAATAAATCCGAACTATCGACATCCGCCTTCGGTTTCTTTTTCTTTTTCCTTGGGTTCACCGGCGCTATCGGCGCTATTTCAGGAGCCGCCATGGTTTAATGATTCTTTATGTCAATTTGAGTTATCTCTAGAGGATGGAAAAACGAAGTGAAATGTGCTGATACTGTGATGCAAGAATTACAAAGTGTTTTGAATATGTACCTGTCGACGAGACTCTCTCTCTCTTTTATCTCTATTCTTTTATTATGTCTCCGTAGCGGTTCGATTGCTTTACGTCCTGCGATTGGTTGCAATTGAAACAAAGGGAATTAAAATGCTGGATTTTGTGATAGACAATTTTTTCAACTTTCGTCGCGGATCCAATTGAAATAGACAAATTTTTACAACCGTCACAGAAACCCAACAACGAAAATTCTGACAATTATTTTCGAGCTCTATGCCAGAACCCATTTTCTCGAGTTAATTGTTCTGATAATTGTTTACGATCAACCTTTCCATCTTGCAAGATGAAAAGACAAGAAATCTGATCGAGGCCCATATTGGAAACCTTATTTAAGCTTTGAAAATATCAAAGATTTATATCGGTTTCAACTCTATAGCCTTTCAGGCTATTATATAGTAAGTGTTTCACGACTGAAGTATTGGTACGATTCACCAAATTTAATGCATCAATAAATGTTGGCCACCGAACACAGTGTCTTGGAGTCTCTTTTCGACAAAATTGACGTCTGTCACAGAGACTGTAACTTTTTAAACGAGGTAAAATTAATTAAGCACAATAGGTCACAAAAAAGGGAAGACGTCGTTTTTCGAATCTATCGATGATTTTTCACTATCGCTCGTACGGAAAGCAATTCATGACTGAAATCATTCGAGTAAAGGACACGATACGAGTAGTACGCAGTACCGATACCATGTACTCGTACCTATCGTACAGAACTGAAGTTTTTAGTTTTTCCATTTCTTTTTGAAATCCACGAGAAAAACAAAAAACATGTCAGACATTCATGAGATTGCATTTCCCTCTAGCTCCAACTACGCTCAACATGACGTACGTACAAAGTATCACTAATACTGTACCAAGAACCTCGGTTGAAGTGTTTTTTCAACCTTGTACGAGGTGTAACTCGTATAAATTTACGTAACGTACAATTACAACGAGTGACGATACGTGAAGTATTTGAAAAATACCGTTTCCTCAATTCCTATCAGGATCTGTTGACACGCCTTTCACCTTCAATGCCGACATTCCGCCAATGAGATAACATCCTCCTGTAATGCGGAGTAGAGAACAGACTTCGTACAAACTGCACCTGTAGAGACCAGCAACAACGCGAACTCCACCTTGGATCATCGCACCAACGAATAGAAAGTGCCGATCAATCAATCAATCAATCACCGCATCAAAACAAATCTTTGAACTACTTCAGGCCACGCCCAAGAGATTTTGGCTCTGGTGTTCGAGACAACTCCAAGTCCAAGCATGGTGAGCGAAAAAGAAAATGGAAAACAACGAAGAGGTCGCCGACATAGGCGTCGACAGCAGAGCATCTTCGCATGTTCTCCTTCGCTATCCATGGCGATTCTCGTAGTCTCGTGCTCTCTGCCGTTTGATCTCGATGGGGTTTCTGGTTGGACTTCAGGATCGATTGTCGTGGGAAGACGGACGCTCTTGCACAGACTGACCCCGGTTGCCAGAACGCGTCTATATGCCAACAAAGGTGGAGAAGACGAAGACTTGATCAGTGAAATGGATGCCCGAATCTTACAGAGCATGCTCCGGGACAACAAACTCGATCTGGAACAAACGTCGAACATGAAGAAGTTACTGGAACGCGGGGTCCGCAAAGACAAGGATTTCGAAAGCATAAAAGAACTCCAGGAACGACAAAAGCAGGAGCAGAAGGAAGAAGAAGACGATACGTATTCTTCGGAGGTCATCAAGACGCTTGCCAACACCAAATTCTGGAAGGCCCTGAAGCGAAACGCCGGTGAAGCCTTGGAATCCCTGGCCATTTCTGTGACTAACGAGATCGAAAAGACCGCAAAGGTTCTGGTTGGGTTGGGCTTTTTTGCTTGGGATCGTGCTAAACAGGACGTGGCCAGGGCGTTGCCCACAGCGGCTAGCGTTCCAAAAAAGAAGGTCTTTCAGCTGGAAGAATCCTCGAGTTATGTAGAACCACCCGTGGAGAGCGAAGAAGAAAAAGAAATCAGGACACGGGCCGAACGCGCCAAGAGCCTTCGCCAGGAATTCACCACCCCTGCCGACGAGTTTTCCGCCGTCACTGCCGAGATCAGCAGCATTTTCAAAAGGGCCAACCGGCAGGTAGAAATGAAAGAAGACAAATCCAAGGACATGGGAAATCCTTTTTTCGCTGCCTTTGTCGAGGAACAGTCGTCCCGAGAAGGTGGCAGTGGCGAAGACTCTTCCCCCTTTTACGCAAGCTCCACTCTTTCGACCACGGCGTCTCGCGGAAACGCCCGGTTGCAGTCGGCCTTCAAGAAATCCCAAAAGACTAAACTAGCCCAGCAAAAAGAAAACCCCGCATCGAAAGCCAATCGACTGGCATCGGCCGCCATCGATTCGGCCTACCAGGTGCGAAAGGAAATCCAGAGCGAAGAAAACGTTCCGGGGTACAAGACCAAGGAATTGCGGGAATCGACGGTCGACGTCTCACGCCGAATCGCCGGTGCTGCCAAGAAAACCGCGGGTTTCCTCGGTGGGGCCTCGGCATTTTTGCTGGGCTCGGAGGAGCCATCGAAACAAGCACAACTGCCGTCGTCGGATGGCGCAAAGGTCAAGGCCGAACCCGCCGAATTTCTGGACGATTCCGCCTATTTTGCGTTCAAACGAGAAGCACCGCTACAGACCGAAGACTTGTCGGGAGGTACTGTGATCGAAGGCGGGGGCCTCCCCACTCCCAAAAAGGAAGAAAGTGGCGGGGCTTTTGGGTTTTTGAGCGCTATTTCCAAGCGTGGCCGTTCTGGGGAAGCCCAGCAGGAAACCGATAGCAATCCTGTAGAAGACTTGTCAACGGGTGTTGTGATTGAAGATGGCAATGTTGCTACCCCAGAAAAAGAAAAGGGTGGAGGGGCCTTCGGTTTCTTTAGTGCTATTACGAACCGTGGTCGTCAAGACCAGGACCGAGAAACCGAAAAGGAGTCCGCCGAGGTTTTTGCACCCCCACCAATCGCGCAGGAGACGGAATCCATTACGGCGGAGGTGTTGGACATAGACAGCGACGGCAGCTTTGAGTATTTCGACGCGGAAACCGAGGGCGCCAAGAGCGAACCTTTCACCACCACGTCGTATCTCGAAAACATGGAAGCGGGAACTGCGACGGAGGTTGCCTCCGACGAGGACCTCCGACAGGTCACGGTCGAGGTGGTATCCGACGACGATTTCGACGACTCTGTTTTTGAACAGGCGACCGCCGTCGACAACATATCGATTGAGGAATTGCTAGAGCAACAGGCTGCCGAGGAAGCCGCTGAAAACCGGGAACCGAACTTTGTCACTAAGGCAACGCTTCGAACCCTGGACGTGGCATTCCTGGTGGTCGAAAAGGGTGTTAGCGTCGCACCCGAGGCCCTAGAGGTCGCCAAGCGTGCGGTCACTCGTGCTACCGAAGCCAAACTCAAAGATTCTGCCGGGAGCAAGGTGGGATGGGAAGCCCACAACGGAAATGTCCGTGGTGAAAAGCGATACTAACAAGTGAACCGAAACGAATTAAAAAAAGGCAAAAGCAATTGAGAACGACTGAAGCAGTTATCGATGCATGTGTTTCGAACTTCATTTTGGCAGTGGTTGAGGTCGGTTCCATTCGCAACTCTACAAAAAAGTAGCCCAGTCGCACAGCCTGGACGCAGCCTCCGACCTCCAAAGCTCATAAACAAGTTTGATTCTACATGCGTATGCGTGAAATAGTCGACAACCAAGCATCACGTCGATCATTCGACCCGAGAAAAAGAAAACGAGAAGTGCACCCTACATCATGAACAATATTCACAGAATGGCCTTTCTGGCAGCACTGTCTTCTCTACTAAAAATTTGCTAAGGTATTCTTTCCACAGAATGAAACAAATCGAACACATGCATTATATAATATAATTTGCGGTTTGAAACCGATGAAAGAATTGCCTATATTCTCATTCAAAGTTGTAGCGTTCTTCTTCTTTATTGATACAGTAAAATACTGTCGAAGAATACCGAAACAGCAAATTCGAACGCCACCACTGGCGAGCGGAAAGGGTGGACACCACAATGGCAGAGAGGGGCGAATCATCAGCTTGGTGCTGTATAGCATACTAGTAAAGACAAACAGGCCTCGGTTTGACTCGAAAAGATTGCGTGCTTTTGCAATGCAAACAGATCATTCCGTTGATCGTTAGTTGGCTTCGCTGCTTGGCGCAGCGGCCTCGGGCTGGGCATCCTCTGCATCCATTTTGATGCCGAGTTTGGCGGCCAGAGCCTTTGCCATGGATTCCGCTGCGGCGATCGATTCATTGAGTTTCTTTTCGGCCTGGTAGCGGAGATCGTTCGCTGCGTAGTGCGATGGGAGCTTGCCGTCGTCGCCGTCTTCCTCACCGCCGCCTTCGGTCGCGGATTCTCCACCGGCACCGTCTGGGGTTTCTTCGGTGGAAGCGGCGGCTTCGGTTGCTTCTGCGTCCGCTTCCTCGGCGCTCTCTTCTTTCTTGGAGGCGCGAGAGGCGAATTTTTGTTTCGCGATCGCCAGCTGGGCCAGGAGTGGGGCTATGGCCTTCTGGACCTCTTCTTTTTCGGCAATGTCTCTCCCCGCTGCTTCGAGCTTGGAGGCGATGTCCGTTACCTCGCTCTGCAGCGATTCCACGACCACGTCGCCGGGATAGGACGCGGGTGGGCCCGGCGAGGGATCTTCCTCTTCCGGGGTGGCTTCTTGCGCCGGAAGAGCCTCCTCGCTTGGTTCGGGAGCGGCATCCGCGTCCGCGGGTGGAGCATCCCCACCGGCGAGTTTCTCTTCCAGAATGGCGTTCAGCTCCTCGGCCTTGGCTTTGGCGGCGCTGATCTCTTCTTCGTGGTCGGCAGCGAAYTTCTCCGCGGATTGYTCCGCTTGGGCCTTCAGCTCYTCGGCCTTGGCTTTGGCGGCGCTGATCTCTTCTTCGTGGTCGGCAGCGAATTGCTCCGCGGATTGCTCCGCTTTGGCCTTCAGCTCTSCGGCCTTGGCTTTGGCGGCGCTGATCTCTTCTTCGTGGTCGGCAGCGAATTKTTCCGCCTTTTCCACGAGGGGTGCAACCTTCCCCTCGAGGTCATGCTTTTCGGCGAGCTCGGTAGCGCCGTCCTTCAGCTTGGTTCCGAGGTTGGCGAGGTTCTTTGTGAGGGCGTCCATGGTTTCCAATGCTATTGTCGTCGTCACGATTGTCTGTTGTGGGCCTTGGAGAGTGCGAAAGATGGGTTCGTTTGTGGAACTCTATGCGATCGAGAAGCAAGGCGGATCGGTGGGTAGGATATGACTTCTTTTGCAACTTGTGACTCGGTGAAGCCTGAAAATCAGCGAGTAGAACTCGTGTGAAAAACTGCTGTACATGTTGTGCTCTACCAGTTTGACCATACTGGGCGGAAAGAAAAGAAAGCAAAGAAAAAACAATACAAGTGATATCTTTCTTCCAACGTAGGGGTAATCGCAGGGGTCTCGGATGGCACAAACCAAAAAGGAAATTTCTTAGATGATACCGTACAGCAGTACAAACACTACGTACCGTGCGGTACTGAACCTGAACATTTTCGGAGGGAACGGTATTACTGTATCTTTTTTTCCACATACCGCACTGTACGTAACATTACTCGGGGTCATTAGTCATTACAGGAAGTACGATTTTGGCTCATCACTACTTTACGTACGTACGTAGTATATGAACATATGAACATATTATGTACAAGTATCTGGATGACAATACGTACGTACCCTTCCCTTACCGGTTCGGTTACAGGTAGCTAGTACTGTACACACCGTACAATACCGGTGAAAAATTGCGATCAATGAAAAGGACGTTTTTTGTTTTTGAAAGAACAATTGTTTAAAAACATTGTTTGGAGTGAGGTGTCGGTAGACTACAACATTCAACGCTCTACGTGGTTTGAATACAGTATGCACTGCAAGGAACGCTAGCGAGCCCATGCGCGGTATCGTATCGCAACAAACCGTGCGATTCATACAGTATCATTCCGCATTGCTTTGTGCCGTAGCGTAGGTTCCTCCCTTTGATGCCACTACGCTACGGTACCGTAACTCGGCGTATTCTCAGTTTTTCGTACAAATACGATTGAAGCACAAAATTCGTTCTCTTTCGACCAGTACGGTTGTGCGTACGAGTACGTGTAGGTGTTCGTTCGTTTTGTGATTTTTTTTTTAGAAACAAATACTGCCACAACTTCGCTTCGACTTCGCATCACCTCCTGTGCTTCACTCCATCCAACATTACGTCGCGAGTACCACTTCTTCGCTCAACACTAGGCCTTGTCGTTCCGCAATCGCTGCACTCCGAGACACACTGTAACCACGTTGATATCGAAACGGAATAGAAGGCTCCACCAAACAAACAAACAAACAAAMAAACGAACGAACGAACGAACAAACAAGCAAACCAACAAGAAAGCAAGAAACGAAAAAGGGCCCAAGCACCCCGGTTCTCCACGAGCAGAGGAAATCGAGATCCACAGACGCACACACAGACGCACACACGAACCCATCGATCATGGCTGGAACGACAACCGCGAGCCGCTCCCGGATCGCCTTTGTTGGGGCGGCACTCGTGTTGCTTCTCGAGGGAGGATCGTTGGACCACGGCCACGGGAAGACAAGCGTGCTGGTGGACGCGTTTGTCCTTCCCTCGAGCCCGCTGACCGGTGCGCTGCTCCCCGGCTCTGGGGGACACGAGGCCGGCAATTTCTTTCCGCTGAGATCCTTCCGGTTCATCAAGGGGGAATCCAGCTACGGCGACGTGGTCGACGGCACCGTGAACGCCGGAATGATGGGAGGACTGGGCGGCGGGACCGGCTCGGTTTCGCTCTCGGGCTTTGGAAGCAACTTCCGGGCGGGACGGACCGCGGGCTCGAACCGCATGGGGGGCAACTCGCTGCTGTCGGGAAGCAGGCGCACGGCAACGAAGGTGCCCCAGTGGTGGACGGCCAGGAGCGGATTTTCCCGGAAGACTCCCACCACGCTGCTCGCGAAAGGATCGGTCGAATCCTGGCCCGTTCTGGAGGCCGACGACATTCAGATTCTGGTCAAGAAGGGGGAGGACATCGAGGACAAACTAAACCACAAGGCAAACAGAAAGGGAAAGGGAAACCGCAACGACCGAGCCTACGACGAGGACGACTACGAGTACCAGGAATACGACGAATACGGCAACCCCGTTCTTGCATCCCAGCAACCCAAGGAGGAGAGGTCCTCCGTCCGGGCCACTCTGGAGCGCTGGGAGCGAGACATTTCGCTGGAAGTCGTGGGAAGGGACGGATATCCCATGGCGGGGAACCAGATGCAGCCCGGCGGCGGCAGCAATGCCTACGCAGACGAGAACAGCGATCGGTGCACCCAAAAAATCGACTTTAGCATCGACAACGGAGACCTCTACCCGTTTTCGGGCACCGTTTCGGTCCCCCCACCGCTCACGGTCGAGGACTCGATGGGCAACCAGCAGACGGTCATGATGGTCCTCAACAATCCCGACGAGGACGAGGACGATTACGGGGGCGGCGACTTCGGGTTCACCCGCAGCCCCGGCTCGAAGAAGGGCAAAACGGTCGAGGCCAAGCTCGAGCCCCTCTACAAGAGCCCCGACGAAAAATACGCGGCCGCACAGCGCCAGCAGCAGCAACAGTACGAGTACCAGTACGACGAGTACGGAAACGAGATCTACGACCCGAGCCTTGGCGGGAGCGACGAAGAAACCGCCACCATTCCCGCCCGGGGATACCAGTCCTTCCAGCTGGATGCCACCGATCCCGCCTCTGGGAAGATCAAGATTTCCCTCGAGCGAGAACGAGCTGGCAACGGCTTCGGCGGCGGAGCCAGCGGCGATGTTTCGGAGGCCCGGCTCGAGCTCTACCACGGCTTTCGGGACGAGTACGGAAACTACCACTCGCCGAACCCGGAGGAAGACGACCGCCGCTTTTCCCTGGACGTGTCGACGATGCACCCGGAGTTCTCCTCGGTCGTCGACACGATGCCCGCCGAGCTGCTGGCCAGGCACTCGCTCCTGCCCCACGAGGCCAGGAACTACGACCCGAGGAGGTCGCAGTACCAGCCCTACCTAGAGGTACGGATCGTCAACACGGGCGGGGCCTCCCTCAAGGCGGGCGTCGGGTCCTTCATGCCCTATTACAAGCCCCAGAGCCAGAAACTCAAGGAGGAGCTCCGCCGCCGGGTCCAGCGCCAGGCCACGATGGGCGCGGCGGCGTCCCTGCGATCGTCGGCCTCGGAAATGAAGGCCGACGATCCCTTCTTGCTGGTGGACAGCGCCCAGTCGTCCACCAGTTCCCGGCGCATCAAGGAAAACATGTACACAAAGCAGACCGAGGCCGCCTACGTGTCCGGCAATGGCTACAGCAGCAACAGGAACAGCAACTTCAATGTCAACGGCAACAATTTCAACAACAATTTCAACAGCAACTATCCCAACCAGCGCAGCCGATACGGAGAGAATTACGTCATGGAGAACGATTCGTCGTCCTTTTTGCAGGGCTTTGGAGGAAACAGCAACGGGTTTATGGGATCCGGCCAAGGCGGTGGCGGAGGAGGCGTCCGGGCCGACGTTCCGGGTGGAGCCAGCCTCTTTGGAGGAAGCAACGAATCCCGGCCCGCCACCCGCCGGTACAGCATGTTTGTGAGCAGCAGGGACCTCGGCTACTACAACGGTTTCAACGATCCCAACAACGACTCGTACCTCTCGGGCCGCTCGCCGATGCAGCAAACCCCGTCGCGACGAAGAAAGGCGAACGGGTACCACCGCAACGGGATGGGCACCAGCTTCAACGACCGGGTGCCGGAGCATCCGGTGGGCCCGGAATCCGGCGTCATCGACACGGTGGCCACTTCCGGGGGCCGCAGCAGCGGAAGCAGCAACCTCGCTCTCGCCTCGTTCGGGGGAAACGGCGGAAGCGTCAGCGGAATGCAGGGCCGACAGCAACAGCGACAGCAACAACCCTTTGGCTCCCAGGGATCCGTGATTGGTGACGGAGTGATCAACGGCCGATCCCTAGGGGACGGCAACGAATACGACGGATACGGAAACAATGGCTTTGGAAACGGGAGGCCGATGAACGGCGGCAGCGGCAACAACCGGTTTGGTGGGAACAGTGGGAGTTACAGCGAAAGAAACTCCATGAACGATGTGGGCAACAGCAACCGTCGGTTTGCGGGAAACCGGGGTGGTTTTGGCCGCGAGAACTCCATGAAGGTCGATAGCCGGGACTCGCCGGCTGGCGGAAGCTTTGCGGGCAACGGCAGGGTCATTGGGGACGGTATCATCAAGGGAAGACCAACGCAGCCCGGGTTTCAGGGCTTTTCCTCGTCCGGAGGAATGACCGACGGCAGGGCCGATGGGTTTGGGACCAACACCAACTCGTTCGCTGGCACAAGTGGTGGTGGAAGCACGAACAACATCAACGGACCTTTTGGAAACATGGGAAGGCCACCGCCCACCACGGCCAATTCCAAGAATCCATTCGCCACCCTGAACGGCGAGACGGGTGGCGACAACAATTCGTTCGGAGCCTCCACCAACGACTTTGGTAGCAACGAGAGCAATAATTTGTTCGGGGGTTCCACCGGCAGCAGCAATTCGTTTGGTGGATCCAGACAAACGAACGGCTTTGGTAGCAACGACGACGACAGCAATTCCTTTGGAGGGGGAATGGGATCCCCACAGCGACCCCTCGGCGGATCGTCGGCCATGAAGAACCCGTTTTCGGGCCTCAACGGCAACGCCAACGCCAACGGGGCATCCGGCGGTCCTTTCGGAAACATCGGGGGGAACAACCAAAGCCAACAGGGCGGCAGCAGCAGCCCGTTTGGCAACATTGGCAGCCCCTCGACGACAGCGATGAGGAGCAACAACAACAATTACGGAGAGTACGACGAGCAGGAAGGAAGCTCGGACGGCTCCATCATGGGATTTGCAAAAAACTTTGTCAAGGGCTTTTCCGGTTAGCATTCAAGAAACCAAATGGGGGGGATGGATCGACTCTTTGTTCGTTTACTAATAAATACTTCGTGATAAGTTAAAAAAACAAGTCTTTGTGTACACTGTGCAGACTGGACGTGTGGACATAATTATCCCTTGAGTGGACAGAACGCCTCGCACTCGACCATGTGAGGTCTGGTCTATCCGATTCATTCCCCGGACCAACTTCGATTCCGCAAACAGGTTACACCCACATGGTAATGGAAGTCGTCAACAGATTGGTGATGACAGCAACGAAGGGTTTTTGACACACGGATGTAGTTCGTTTGCTGTCCGTAACTCCTATCTAATACAGAACAGGGGTCATGCACAATAGGGGTACTTTACGTACTCGTACGTACGCATCGATTCGAAAACTCATATTCCATCCTCGGTCCCAAAATTCAAAAACCATGGAAGGAATTTTTAATTTCTAATTCTTGCTAGTGTTTACTAAGTAGTAGGAAAACTGTCCAAATTTGAAGTAGTCACAACTTGATCAAAGATACTCATTATGTCATTTTGATCTAGACCGCTTTTGAACATACGTTTTGTCAGGTAGTAGTATCAAATACTTATGGATATTCGGTATACTGTTTGCTGCCCGGATTGCCGTTGTTCCAGACGGTGTCCACGTGCGGCTGCAACCACCCGCAGCATTTGCATGCAACTTTGCCGCTGGCGCCTTGGCCGTTGAAGCATTGGTGTCGACCCACAACGTTTCGAAGAGAAGGGGAAAAAAAAACTCGAACCCATGGAATGCAATAAAATGCAATGCAATAAAATGCAATGCAATGCACGTGGCGGAACACAGATCGATGGGTCGGTCGCCCTGTCCGGCCCGCCTTTTTGAGGCCCAAAACCAAACCCCCCAAAATGCTGCCCGGCCGTCCCGCATGGCGGAAACCAAAGAAACGAAACACCCCCAAACACCTAGTGTACATGGCAACAACACAACACAACACAACACAACGCACCGAAAGGGCACCGGTGGCACCAACCAACAAAAACAATAATTTTGATGGTAGTAGTAGTAGCAGTCGTAGTACTAGTACTAGTAGTAGTAAGCTAGGATGGGAAACCGTGACACCGTCCAAGCACGCGTACTTGTCCACGGCCCCACATTGCACCCCACGAGAGGGAATCGAATCGCGGTGCGCTCGCCTCCGCCCGAGCCGAGCCGAGCCGAGCGAAACGAAACGAAACTAAAACTCGGAGCCCTCGCTGCCCCCGCTCTGGTGGTGCCGGTGGCCGTGGTGCCTCCGGGGCGTCGTCCGCGTCCGGGCGTGGTGGTGTGGGTGGTGGTAGTGTTGCTGCTGCTCCTGCTCCTGCTCCTCCCCCTTCCGCCGTTGCCTCCCGGTTTCGCTGCGCGGCCTTCCGCTTCCGTTGGTCCCGTCGCGGATCGCGTGGCCGCTTCTGCTTCCTCGGTCCCCCGGCCCTCCCTCGCTGCTGGAATCGTCGGAAAAAGAATCGAAATCGGGGGCTGCGCTGCTTCGGTCCAAGGCGGCGGTCTGGTTCTCGCAGTGGCAGTCCTCGATGACCCGGAGGAGGAGATCGACGTGTTGGTCCAGCCGATCGAGCTCGTCGTATGCGCCGAGCAGCTCGTCCTCCAGGGAGCCATCGTCTTCCGCCGGGGAAGAAGGGTCGCCCGGGGCATGGCTGTTGTCGCTGCCGGGTCCCCCGCCGCTGCCGCTTCCGTCGTAGCGGTGGCCTTTTTCGCCGGCTTTTAAGTACCCCCTTCGGTCGTCCTGGTCGCACTTGTGGACCATCCCGGGCAGGGCAAACCCGTAGTTGGCGACGACCACGTCCTCGCAGGCGTCCGTGTACCAAAAGGTGAGTTCCTGTCCGGTCGAAAAGTCGCAGGCCGCCACGATCTCAAAGGCGTCGGTGGAAGCGTTGTAGGCCCCGCGGGTGCAGGGCGGGCCAAAGTTGAGCAGGTCGGCCAGGGGCAGCAAAAAGGACCTGGCCACCGGGAGGGGGGAAGGGTTTGGCTTTGGGTTTGTGTTTGTCTTTGTGTTTGTCGTTGTTTCCCCCGCTCTTGGGCTGCTTCCGTTTGGCAGCACGCGTGCTTCGCCGTCCTTCTGCCTCCGGTCCTTGGTCACGACCCATTCGTCGGTGGGCGTCGCCGCGGGGGGGGCCTCCCGGTCCGAGAAGGATTCCTGGGTTTCGCCGCCCGCACCGGGGGGATCGGTTTCCTCCTCCAAGGAAGGGGGAGCGGACATCCCATCGAGTACCGGGTCGTCGTCGTCGCCACAATCGTGGTCGTAGTCGCTTTCGTCGTCCGGGATCGGCAGGTGCCAGCGCCTCGCGTTGATCAGCGCGTAGGCCCTGTGGAAATTCTCGAGGGAAAACATCCACCCGTCGTCGCTTTCGTTGTGGTGTTCGTTGTGGTGTTTGGTTTCGCTCGGGGTGGTTTGCGGCGGTCCTTCCGGAGGTGCCTGCGAAGGCGGCCTCCCAAAGACGGCCGGGTGCTCCCTGGCGAGCACCGATACGACCGAGTCGTAGAGCTCCACGACGTCCCTGCGTATCTCCCGGGCGACCCTCCTGACCCCGGGGGTGGCTCCGGTGCGGAGCCTCGACGAGGGCCACAGGTGCGGGACCGTCTCGGAGAGGTCGTCTTMGTGGAGGCGGAGGACGTCGAGGTAGGGCCCGACCTCGTTGCGGGGGCTGTTGTTGGTGTTGGTGTTGGTGTTGTKGTTGTGGTTGGTGCTGTTGTTGGTGTTGTGCTGCTGCTGGCCTTGCATCGTCCGATAGAGCAGGGTGACCGCGAGCAAGGGAATCTCGTCGAGCGGACTGCTGGCGGGTTCGTCGTGATCGTCGTTGCTGTTGTGGTTGCTGTTGCTGTTGCTGTGAATGATGTTGTCGCCGGCAATCTCCCAGCCGTGCCTCCGGCGGGCCTCGGGCCCCAGGGCCCGTACCAGGACCGCGTCCCCCGAGCGGTCGATCGCGCTCCCGACCGTCCACAGCGCCCTCCTGGGAATCGACAGGACGACCTCGCCCCTCTGGATCGGCTTGGAGGCAAAGAGGCCCCGGACCGGAACGAGGGGGTACTCCCCTTCCGCGGTCTTTTGCCGGTCGGCCCGGTCGTCCAGGAGGAGCGAGTGCTCGGGGAACGGGGGAGGTTTCGAAAGCGAATGCTGGTGGCTTGAAGCGTTTCCGTTGTCGCTGTCGCTGTCGGCATGGTGGTCCATGCCACCGTCAGCGTCACCGTCGTCATTCGTGTCGATCCTGTTTCCCTTGCTGATGTCAACGCCAACGTCGACGCCGACGCCGACGCCGACGCCGACACCACCGTACCCGGACACGCGGTCCCGGTAGTAGGCAAGGTAAGCGTCCTCCGCCTCTTCTTCCTCGATGCAGTCCTCGCAAAAGACGTCGATCCGGTCTTCCATCGCCCGGATGTAGTCGGGGTAGCCAGAGTAGCCGATCTCTACCTTGCTGGTGTCGATCCCGTGGTAGAGCCGGCACCAATCGAGAAAGTCCGCGTGGACGGCGTCCCGCATGTGATTGTTGCTATTGTTGCTGTTGCTATTGTTGCTGTTGCTATTGTTGCCGTTGATATTGTTGCTGTCATTGTCACTGTCACTGTTGCTATTGTTGTAGTTGTAATCGTGGTTGCTTTCAAAGCCGGTCTTCTTCCGACCGTGTTGGCTGGAAGGGGTGGCCACGATGTTGTTTTTGCTCTTGTTCCTGTTTCTGCCCGAGCTTGCGTTCGTGCTGCCCGAGTTTCTCTTTCGGTTCGTGTTCTCGGCATCGTCGTCGATGCTCGTGCGTTGCCGCTGCTGTTGCTGTTGCCGTTGCCGTTGCTGTTCTAGTTGTTGCTGTTGCTGCTGCTGTTGCTGTTGCAGCTGCTGTCGGACAAAGGAGGCCCTCCGGTCGTTTCTGCCGCCGCCGTTCCGGTTTCCTCGGTTGCTCCCGTTCTTTCCGCTGCTGCTGCTGCTGCTGTTGCCGCTGCTGCCGTTGCTGCTGTTGCGAATGTTCCCGCTCCTGGCATTCGCGGAAGCCGCCCGGAGCTGCGCCACCGATTCCTGCGGCTGCGCTGCTGCCGTGGCCGTGGCCGCACAGAGCCAGAGAAGGGTCCTCCACCGGGATGAGCCAGCCCTTGTGGTCGTTGTTGTGTGTTTCGTGCGTTTCTGTTTCGTGCCCGAAGCGTTTTTGGTTTGTGCCCCTGCGGTGGTGCCGCTGCGATTCGGGCTTTGTCGCTGTTGTCGTTGTCGTTGTCGTTGTCGTTGTCGTTTCCTCATGGCGGGGGGTTTCGATCGTGTGCTTGTGCTTGTGCTAGCGCTGTGTCCTGTTGCCTGCTTTGCCGTGTTTTGTTGTATTGTGTGGGGTTGTATTGAATCGTGTTGTGTTGTGTTGTGTTGTGTTGTACTTCTACTCGTCGTCTTCCCAAAAAGTTCAACACAGGAATCGAAAGTCCAGTCGTATGGTACTACTCGTACTGTAACTCGTATGATAGTATTGTACTACCAGAACGAACGCAAATGTGTGCGTGACAGGTCCGGAATCAGTACAAATTGTACATGGCTCTACAGAGAGAATTATACACTTCATTTGCGTTCGCAACTTGAACCTGTCACACCCCTTGAAAAGGGACTATTTTATATCGAATTTTTTCCTTATTTCGGAGGTTTCCGAGCTCTTTTTTTTGCTCACTTTTT